CTCGTGCTTCTTGTGCTAGACTGACCAAAACAATTTCCCAGAACTCATTCTTTTTTATTATTTTAATTTTTTTATTTTTTTTTTCCACCTCCTTTTCTCTATTTATTGCTTATTACTTTTTATCGACCTTCTTCTCTCTATTTCTCTCTTTTTCTATTTCTTTTTCACGCGAGCTTATCAACGTGCATCGTTCTTTTAATAATTGTCACGCTCGAAAGCTTCTGCTGAAAGAATTTGATCTATTCTAGCGGAAAGCTTTATGAAAATCTACAAGTTAGTTGTAGTATAGTAAGCACTAGCTAGTCAAAAATATAAATTTTCCGTTCGTCGTCGACCACGTCCTCGTTATTTTTCCGTTTAGCTTTAAACAAACATTAATTCTCTCACGCTTTTATACCGTCTGAAGAAAGAATTACCATGAAATGTTATCTCCTTTATTGCCAGGGATTTTTAATATTTGCGGTATTATAATTACATCCTTTGACTTACGTCAAATTTTCTAACAATATTAGAAAATGCGATAACATTGTTTATTTACTTCAATTTACATAGAGAAAAAATTATTCGTTTATTATCTTTTATCAATATTAAAATCATTTTTATTTAAACATTAGAACAGAATTATGGCAATGTAAGATGTGAATAATAAATGAAAAATAATATAAACAACAGACACAAGAATTATCTGCTACCATCTTTTTCTGCGTTTCAAACGTTTCCCCTTTGATACACAAGAGCACTCCTATCTTTTAATATACATGAAACTCTAGAGAACAGCACACTTCGATGTTCTCACGAGTATTGTGTATACCTATATTTTATGTATCGACATATATCTTCGCAACTGGTCGGTCCCAAGTTCAACGCTTCGCGTTTCTCGACCTTTGTATTTCATTAGTAGAACGAACCAATAATTTCTTTTCCCATTGCTTCAAAATCACGTTCATTTTAAATTTTGATTTCATTTTGTTAATAGTTTATGTATTTTTATGAAAGAAATTTGATCTTAAAATAAAATACGTATATAATATGTATGTACTTAAATATTCTTAATAAACACTAATTATCGAAAGAAAAAGAGAATGAAGAAAAAGAGAGAGAGAGATGTAAGGAATATTAACGTTTTACCTTAAGAAAATCCTGGCCATGAATAGATCATGTTAATTATACGAAGAGACCGATATTTCCAAGGAAACATGGCAGTCTTCGCCTTGTTTAACGAGCCGAGGAATCTTCCCTTGATTATCCGTCCTCGTATTATAAATGTCAACAATAATTAATGCTAGACCACTATACCTCACTCCTACCTCTTTCCCTTCATCACCATCTTAACTATCCTCCTTTCGTGTACCTTAGCAGCAAGCAATACAAGTTATAACCTCTCAACGTTGTAAGAGAAAACACAAGTTTTTTTTTAATAAACATATATAACGTATTAAAGGATATAAAAGTAAATGCAGTACAAACCAAAACTTGCAGAAATGGTATCAACTACGTTGACAGATACTCTTGGCTCTTTTCGCGTGGTCTTTTCAAATTCGCGAGTGTTGCAAACAGCTTCGTTTGGAGCTTTTGCTATAGGATTATACACGAGCCCCTATCCTATGCACATTTGTAAATACATACATACATATTTACTACGTACGTACTTATAGCTCATCAGTGAATGCACACATACTTCGTCATCGAGCCTTCTATTTGCGGTCTGAAAAGCCTTTCCCGACACCGATGCGCGGTTAAAGGGAGAAAGAGAAAAAGAAAGAGAGGAGAATAAAAAAAAGAAACGAAAGAAGAAGAAAAAGAGAAAAAGGAGAACAAAAAGAAAGCATAGGAACGAAAAGGACTCTAACCTCAAGTGTTTACGTTAACTCGGTTTCGTTTCCTGGTATAAATAGAAAAGTATACGAAAATGAAAGAGAAAAAGAAATTATGAAAATTTTGCGACAAACCTAAAACCGTACAACCATTATTTCCATTGATAATTTCAATTGACGACCAAATTAACAATTTTTTTGCACATTCTTCCATCCTACGTTTATCTCTTACATATGTTATTTCATATAATAATCGTATTCAATTTCGATAAAATCGTTTCACTGACTATTCGTTAATATCATCGTTAACTAGCTCAATTGTCGATTTCTCACAGCTTATCTTCGTTTATGTAACATCCAGCAAAAAGTTACGGCTTTTTAATAACTCGATTTAGTTGACCGAAATCGAGCCGGTCCAATCGAAGATTAATGCACAAGCAGAAATATATAGTTATTGATTTTCGTTGACTACATTTTAGCTTTCGAATATATATTTCGATGATTGTGATCTCTCTCTCTCTCTCTCTCTTTCTCTTTCTCTTTCTCTTTCTCTTTCTCTTTCTCTAACAACTACACATAAACTATTATCATTACTTTAGCAGATGCCCCTTGTAGTAATTAAAATCATTAATAACATATTCTCACTTACTCGGATCGTTAATATTGTTAACGTCGTAACGCTAGTTAAAACGATATTAATAAATAAATAAATACAAAAAAAAATATATATATATATATATATATATTTTCATTACGAAATACATTATTCATATAGTTTTTTATCAAGTGTTCGAAAATTCGCAAACACGACCTGATTTTTCTGAAGAGACCCTTTCAAAAAGTAAATTTAATTAAAATAACGTTCCTTTTTTTTTTACTCCGGAAGAAATTAAACGACATGAATTGAAATGTCGAAACATTTGTTACCTTTTTAATTAAACTAAAGTATACACGGGCAGTTTAATAATAGCATTTATATAAGGAACGCGTGTGAAAAACAAACAAAAACAAAAATTAACATTTTTATAATCATTAAATATGTATATTATATTAATTCTATATTGTCTATCGTGTCTCTTTGTCTATTAATGAAAAAAATAATATATTTTTCATTGAAAACCTTTTTTCCAAATTCAAACAATCCACAATTCATGGTTTCATTCGTTAAATATTCATTATTAACCAACAGATTTAATATACTCGTTAGTGTCAGTCGCATTTTCCAGCAATTACCAGAAATACTATATAGAGCTACGAATATTACGAACGAGTGCGAATTAATGCTTGCGAACGTTCTGATTAAATTCAAGTTTTGAGCTACGTGGTCAGACTTGCGGTAATGAGATTTCGCGTTACACTTACGTTTCTCCCTAGGAAAACAAGCATGCTAATCGCTTTCGTTGATAAATTGTGATGGATCTTTTGATCACAATACAATAATGATAACTTAAGACGTTTGCTATGCTTGTCAACGACAAAATTAAATATAAACGATTAACGTTAGATATTTTGGTTTATTAAAACACTCGTCAATACCAGCACGAGAATATGATTATTATTATTATTCTCAAATTAATGTTGTTATTGTTATTACTATTATTGTTATTATTGTTAATATTATTATATTATTATTATTATTATTATATTTTAATTAAATTTTACTTTGGTAGATTTTCGACGGAAATCGAGTAGGTACAAGTAAACTTTGTAACGTCGTACCGTACGATAAGTTCTTACGGAATGGACAGCTAATTAAATCGAAGCCGATAAGGTCTCTCCGCATAATTTATGCGCCGTCTACATTATATCCGATACAGGAGGTTGTTCGCTTTCGCGATAAAAGAAGCGTGCTCTCTCTCTCTCCCTCTGTCACACACATACACACAAACGCAAATACAAGAGTTCGCGCACGTATGCAAGCAAGAAAGAGGCTATCTCGTCATCGTTGTTTACAGTTACGACGAGAGCAGCTTGCACGCTCAGTGGAAAGGAAAGGTTAAAGTTATTCTCGAGTCGAACCCTTTTCCGGAACGTTGCATACATTCATATTTACTAACTTTTTTCTTTTTCTCTCTCTCTAATTCCGAACCCTTTACACCCAATCTTTTCCTATCTACTTTTCTATATATCTATCTATCTATCTATCTATCTATATATCTATCTATCTATCTATCTATATATCTATCTATCTATCTATTTCTTTTTACCACGTAGCATAGAGCACGAACAGATATTTATCGCTCAAGAGAGTGCCGTGATTAAAAATGCTTTCTCTCCGTTATTTCGACGTAATATTTTTCTGCGTCTCGTAATAATCACCGTCGCCGTCAGGAAGATTAAAGCAGAAGCTACGATTTTCACGATAAAAGCATCGACGGCTCTCTATTTTATTTCCCTCCTCCTCCCTTCTATTTCTTTTTCTCTCTCCCTTTTTCTCTTTTTCTTTATTTCCTTCTTTCTTTCATTCCCTTTCTATCCCTAAATCCCTCTTACGCGCGTATCTACAAAATATACACTCGGATCAAAATGACAGTCGTGTTATGCCTCTCAAAAAGCAAAAACCGTGCCATTCCTTTTTCTCTATCTCACTTGAACCACCTTTTTTTCCATCCCCTATCCTCTCCTGTTACACTTCAGGCGAACGATATTTTACGAGGAAACGTTATTTTTGCTATCGACATTGAGGTGAAAAAAACCACCCTCCTCATCAGAAGATGGTTTTGTCAACGATCGAAAACAGCGATCGTTAACATCGACCTGGAGCCTTAATTACGATCGATACCGATGAATCTTTCTCTCTCTTTCTCTCTATTTATCTTTCCCTCTTCTTTCTCTGCTTTTTTGTCTTCTTAGTTTCGAGTCGAAAAGCTACGTTATATCCGTTGCACCATGCTACAAGTAACACTTCGCCACGTAACAAAAGTTACTTCATTATCGGAAAAGTTTGTTCGCGTTGGGTCCATCATGAAGCTGCCGTAGGGGATAAAGAAGAAATCTATATCACTCTCATTTTCTTCTTTTTTGCTTATCCTTATCCAGCCTATGCAATATCCCCCATCGTCGTCGTCGTTCGAGACCTCGACGAATCTTATCGAATCGAGTAGGAAAAAAAGGAGATAACAGAAGAAGAATAATAAGATGGAGGTAAAAAAAAAATCGACCAGAAAAGTAAACAGTCTTACTCACCAAACAGTCCTCCAGCTGCTGTAGCCTTGAAGACGACCCATATGAGATAAGCGTAGATAATCCTTCCGCGTTTCCACGCATCCATGATGCTCGATGAATTTTATTGCCACCCTCCGCACGGTGCCACCGACGACGATAACGACGAAATTAGCCCTAATTCGATAAACGCGACTGTCGTTACGCGTTACCACCGTTGGAAGTTGTTGTTCGAGCATAGGCGTTATTACACGAATACATAAATACACACACGTGTTCCTAGACAGGTCTTTCTCTCACTCTTACTCTTACTCTTACTCTCACTCTCTCTCTCTCTCTCTCTCTCTCTCTCTCTCTCTTTTTCTTTCTTTCTTTGTAATATCTGCAACAATTTTTCTCTTTTCTATATCTTAAAGCAGATCTATACTTTTAATTCCGATGCACACGCGAACTAACAACTTGAACGAATAACCGGTAAGATCGTGGTGAATCCATTTCACGCACATGTCCACCGAGAGGAAGAGAAGCTCCGTGTGTCCGTGTGTGTGTGCGTTGGTTTTATCCGTGTCTTCTTATCGAGCACAGTACAGTCCGTTTCATAGCTCAAAGTCGTGGTAGTTTATCGTATATTTTATTTTTTTCTTCTCTCTCTCTCTCTCTCTCTCTCTCTCTCTCTCTTTTAACACTTTTTCTTTGTTTATAAAAGTTGATTTCGTTCGGTTCTATCCAAAAACACTTAACCAACAAATATTATCTTATAATCGTCGTGACAAATATCGGCACTTCTTCTCATCGTTTAGATTCGCGTTCGCGAATGAAAAGCGCGCGACTCCGACGACGCGCTCGCGACGATCCGGAGGGTGCATTTCGTAAAGTTAACAACTCACTTACTTCTTCCTTTCAATTTGTAAGTTGGGGTTCACTTTTGTTGAAAATAAAAACAAAAACAAAAAAAATATATATATCACACTCGAAGAGACCGACAAAGTTTAATATCCTTTCATTGTTTCGTTAACGAAAAAAAAAAGATGTAATCTTGAAGTTGGGGAGGGTCACTACCGGAAATTATAGTATATACGTGTTAGTTTTTCTTCGTCAACGAGGAAATACGATTGAAAATCTTTTTGAAAAATCTTATCGATCTCATTTAATTTGTACACAATGAAACTCGATTAAAAATCATTTGAAAAATGGTTCGTCGTAGAAATTGATTAAAAGTAAGATCTCTAACTCACACTGCAAAATGTTTCGACAATGAACTCGCGGAAAAGAGAAACTCTGAAGAAGAAAAAGAAGATAATGAAGAAGAAGCGAAACCGGTCGGTAACTTCCGTGGTGATCATTCGCGAAGAATCGTTGAAAGTCTTGCAAGCACTGAAAATACTCGCGACGTTGGAACTAGTAGCCGAGCCGCAGGAACAGCAACTTGCAAACTTGCAACTCGCTAAGGCGAGACCGATCAAGCGAGGAGAAAAAGAGAGTTGCGCTCGGATGAAGAATGAAAGAGAGGAAAAGAGAGAAAAAGAGCAAGAGAGAGAGAGAGCAAAAGGAAAAGAAAGAATAAAGAAAGGGTGGTGGAGGTAGAAGGAAGGACGGAGGGACGAGGACGCGAACAGGGCTGGTCGTCGAACCGGTTTCACTCCCGGAGATCGCAACGGGCCAATTGGAAATACCACTGACAATGAGTCTACCCAGCTTGGTCGCTTTACGATCTCCTGACGTTCTTCACCTAACGACTACAACGACGACAACGACGACAACTAGAACGAGAAGAAGGACCAGGATGAAAACAAGGACGAGGATCTTCTTTAAATGATCGCGATAATAGAACGCAATCGAGCGTGGATCCGGTCTAACCACTGTCAGGTGACTCCAAGGAAGCTGAGTCTCTAGTTCGATATGCTTTAGACCGTGAAGAAAAAAGAACACGTCTTTCCTACGCGATTCAATTTTTCTCTTAACTTTCAAAAGTAATCCTTTTGTTTTTCTTACTATCAGTTCTATATCATCTTCCTTTTTTACTCTTTCTAAATGTTTGCGGAGATCGTTCGAACGTAACTTTTTCTACTCCCATTTTTATTTACAACACCAATTTTTCAATATATGTTCAATTAATTTCAACAAAGTAATAATCGCAAGAGAATTTTGTCAATATAAGTACATATAGAAATAAAATACCGAATCGTTTTTAATTTGATATGTGTATGTACATATATTTATATTTATACATATGCACGTTTATTTTATTTTTTTATTTTCCTCGTGTTCCAACAAACATCACGTATAAACATGGCCAGTATAAATACGAAAAAAATACGAAAAACGATAAAGACAACTTTTTCACTTCCATCTCCTCCACCACCTCCTCCTCCTACTGCTTCTTCATCCATGTATATCAACGCCCCTCTGCGATCGTTCGTGAACAGTATTCAGTTTTGATTGTATAACTGTCGTACACGCGATGCGTCATGATGCATCGGTTGCCACGTTAATTTTGTATTTTTTATTCGACGTAACTTCGCGCACAGTCCTGACAAAATATTGCAACGGCTCGAGTACTATCAAATAAACGAATGGTGGTGTATACTAAATCTCGAATTATTTATCCCTTAACTGATTAATAAACATTGCTTTCGTCGAGCATTTAATATTTTACGCTAAGCTTAGTTTCATCCTATTTTTCTCTCTACTCTATAAAGAAAAGGATAAGAAAAATGAGGGTAGAAACGAGGAGACTGGAAAAAGGCAATTACTAACGGTCCACAGAGCGTTGAGATTAATTAATCGGTTTGGCGAGCGCGTGAACGGCACCTTCAGCTAGTCACCTCGTGTACTATGATTTAAATGTTTTCTCTCCCTGTCTATTTATCTATCTATATATCTATGTGTCTATCTATCTATGTTTTTCTTTACATCAGCGAATTAGAGTAAAACAAAGTATGAAAAAAGGTGACAGGGGGAGGAAAAAAAAGTCGCCGAAATAAAGTAACGACAAAAGTTAGTTCTTCGAGTATCCTGGCGCACGCTCGTAGAAAGGACCAAGGTGAAAAAGGCTTTGGAGGAGCCGTTGACCTTGAACGGCGCCTTCTCTCGATCGTAGGGTTCCGCGCGGGATGCCCAACCGACGGAACGGGTCGGTTCGAAGCGATAAAGTAAACCGCGTTTTCTAAGAATCTCACTCTCTTTTTCTCCTGCTATCTTTCTCTCTCTCCTTCCTTTCGTTCTCTTTAACTATAAATTTATATACATCATCATCCACGAAACTAGTACCTCTTTTAAACGACGATTAAACGACGTTTCCGCGTGTTGTTATCTTATTTTAACTTAATGCTCCATCAGTTGTTATTTATCTAGTTGCTTTCTCGTGAACAACAATGTATACAAATGCAAGTGTGTCTATATTCCCTTTCTTAATCTATTTCTTAGAGATTACACGAAGAACACGCGAGGTATAATCGGCAGAATGAAGAAGATCAGAAAGGCCGACGCGCGACACTGCGCGTCCCGCAGAATCACGATCCGCACTGGTACGCCATCGAGCGTTAGGGAAAGTTCGCTTACGCTCATGCTTCTCTCTCTCTCTCTTTCCTCCTATCACTCTCTCTCTCTCTCTCTACTCCCACCCTACTCGAACACGACGACACAAGCGCACACGTACACCAGCCGCCGGTGGCTTCGCGCGCAGCAGCTACACCCCCACCCTTAGAAAACGTTTTGCTTGGGGTGGGGACCAACCGATAGGGTGCGCACCTTTGCTTCGAGTAAACGAGTGAGAGAGAGAGGGAGAGAGTGAGAGAAACGGTGATAGAGATAGAATGGAAGAAAGAGTTAGAAAGAATATGAGCAGGCTCTCTTGCCGATTTTCTACTTTCTTTCTTTCTTTCTTTCTTCTTTCCTTCCTTCCTTCATTCTTTCCTTCCTTCCTTCCTTCCTTCCTTCCTTCCTTCCTTCCTTCCTTCATTCCTTCCTTCCTTCCTTCTTTTCATCCCCTTCTTCTTTTCTCTGTCAATCATCTACTGACCCTCCTATTTTCTTTTTTTCGATTGTTACCCTTTTTCTTTATCTTTATTCTCTTTTCTCCGGATTACGACACGCTACATGACGATTTCGTACAAAAACATCGTCGAGTGGTTGCTCGAAACCTTGTCTGAAGGATCATAAGGAAAGGCACCCTGAAGAAAACGCGCTACCATGGCCGTCGGGCAAAAAGGGATAAGCCCAAATGAAAAGTGAGGATACTTTACTGCTTACATTTTTGCGACAAAGATCTCACCCTGGCAACGTTCGCCACAGGATATAATCCTAGAAACCGAGTAGAGAAAGTGTGAATCCTTGATAGTTTCGAATATCATTTTTCACTGTGCTATAGCCCTTCTTCTCCATTTTATTTCTTTCGTTCGTAGTCATCGCTCTATTTCTCTTATCTTTTTTCTGAAACAATCGGTTTGTTTGCTTTAGTTTTTTCCTTTTCTTTTTTTTCTTTTTTTTTTTTTATTCTTTTCATCTTTTCAACGAAACAATAACTTTATTTGAAATTTCTTAATGATATTACAAAAAGAAGATACAAAAAAATGATTGAAAAAGAATCCTCTCTTAAAAGAAAACGTTAGAAAGGATCTCTATTTACCTATTCGTTTATATTCATCCATCGATGAATTGTTTAGAAACCAAACGTATAAGCAGATCCAACACGGCGCTTACACCCTAATCTTATAGATTTCTCTCCGTTTACTCGAGTATATCCGGAAGATTTCCTCGAAAGAGGAAACAGACCGGAACGGAAGAAGAGAGACATAAGAGTTTAAAATTCTCTTCCTGCGTGGCTAGAGCCAGCTCATTCGCATCCGTGGCCATAGTAAAGAGAAAGAAGAAAACGAAATAAGAATAATTTGAGAGCAATTGGATAACGTATCGTAGTCGTGGGTTGAAGTGGGAACCACGTGTATTGAAGGATCCAGCTAGAAATTGGAAGTCCGTTCTCGGTCTAACCATACACATTGAGAGGAAGGTCAGATTGGAACACCTAATCCAATGTTTTACAGGTTTACTGATTGCGGTAGAGCAATGTGCAACCCTCTCTCTCTCCCTCTCTCTCTCTCTCTCTCATTCTGTCGCTCCTTTTCCCCTTATTGCCACTGGATAGAATCTACCCCTTTCACCTTGTCTCCATCCTTCTCTCTCTCTCTTTCTCTCCTCCTTTCTTCTCTCTTAACCATCCCATTCTTATCCTCGTCGCTTTGTCTCGCTTCCTGTCCTAATTCTTCGACAAATAAACGCATCATTGAGCAGCCGTAGATTTACCAATCAGAGAAATGCCT